GAACCCCCTACTGGGGATTGAGCCTGCAACCCCATGTGCCCTGACCGGGAATCAAACTGCTGACCTCTCAGTGCATGCAGTGTCACTCAACCAACTAAGCCACACTGACCAGGGCCATATAATACTGATTTTAAAAATAAAATGTTATAATATTTTAAAACCAGTTAACAGTCACACTTTTATTTTATTCTTTGGTTTTGGATTTTTTTTTTCTCCTATGTTGTATAGGATTTTTTGGATATCACTTGTTTATTCAACAGTTTTGATTCCTTGAATTAATTACTCAGGATAACCAAAGAACTGACAGTTTAATGAAAAAGCTATATATTGTCTTACAGCATTAAATTATTTATTGCTCTCAACAGTTGCATTTAAGATGACCTTGAAATTTTGTTTTCATGAACATAACATGCCTTTATAGAAAGAACAACAACAACCCATATGTGTAATAACCTCACTTCATGAGGAATTCTGGGAAGTCTTAACATTTGTCTCCAAGGAGTCAAGTAACAGTTCATTGTCTGTCTCTGGAACCTTGAGTGGGTAGCCTCTCTGAGGCTTATACATTTCCCACTTTTAAAATGGGAGGGGGGAGCCAACACTAAGATTGGGGCAAGGAATAGGGGTCACTTGTCCAAATGACATAGAGAACAGGGCAGGTGGGCCTGTGTGGAGCAGAACCCCTTCAGCCTTGGCACTAAACCCACTGGCTGTACTTGTGTCTAGTTGCCTTAGTGTCTCCACATATTGAGGGATCTCATGAGGGGGTTTTATTTTTAAGTTCTCTCACCTGTATACCGTATGCTCCTTTAGTCCCAAGGCACCTTCTATAGCAGATACTAGTTCCCCTTAACCAGTACCACATAGGAAGAATCTGTGAAGGAATCCATCTTCGAGTTCAAGTCCAGCCTTACATTTGATGCAAAACTCCTCTGCAAGAGTTTAGTTTAGCTCTTTATACTTCATTACCGGTTATGAGGAACTTAAATAATATTGACTTTTCCTTCATGTATGATTATCATCATTAACTTAATAGACACATTCATGTTCCTGTCACACGTTGTAAAAGGTAAGCTCTTATTTATTGGAGTTGCATTTGCTTTCAACCTAACATGACTGGAGGCTGCGATTCTCTTTGTAATTCCCTCCCATCCTGCCATGCCTTCCCCATATCCCTTGTAACCTATTTCTGCTACCCACTCCCCACTCTGTTCAGGTACCCTGAATGCTAGAGAGATTTAAGCAGCAGGAGCGCTCTGTACCAAAAGTCAAGACTGTGGGAATTGCAACTCAGCTAGCATAGCTCACAATGATGATGAGGGGTAGTGGATAGAGAGGGTGAAAGTTCAGATCAGGACATTGGCACAGGCATTGTTAATGGGGAGAGTAGGAGGAGATTCATACCCCTCGCATCTGGGAGTCTTGGAGCAGAGGGATGGGAAGTGAATTGTTAGGATAAGAAAGAAATAGGCTAGCTCAGGCTCTCAACTGTTGTGATTTACTCCTGGACTCCAAGTTGCCTATAATGATGAAAGCCAACCTCAGGGACAAAGTGTGATTTTTTTTTTTTTTTTTAATATGTCTATTGATTTCAGAGAGGAAGGGAGAGGGAGAGAGAGAGAAACATCAGTGATGAGAGAGTCATTAATCGGCTTCTTCCTGCACACCCCCTACTAGGGATCAAGCCAGCACCCAGGCATGTGCCCTGATTGGGAATCGAATCAAACCACTATCTCCTGGATCAAAGGTCAATGCTCAACCACTTAGCCACACTGGCCGGGCGAAAGTGTGATTTTTTAGGGACAATGAAAATTACCTCTTCCACTGTAATAAGAGGCCTGAAGTC